GATGCGTTGAGACGTTTAGGGTTCAGCAGTTTAGGATTGGAGTAAGCTAGCGTTTCTGCCTCGTCCATTCGTGTAGCGCCCCTTAATCTCCCCTAATTACGATCTGCGCATTTGCCGTCGTTAGCGTCACTTGTTTGCGATCTCATCGACGAGCCGCCGCTGACTTGGAAGCTTCTATTGCGGAAAGATGAAGCTTGTCAGGTAGGAATCACCCACCCATTTCAATGGCTGTTAATTCATTCCAAATCGTACGTTTTCAAGGCGTCGGTTTGCTGTTTTCTGACAGCGTGATTGCTCCTGAACTGTGCAGGTTTCTTATGAAGCTAAACAATGAGACGGTGTCCATAGAGCTGAAGAATGGCACAATTGTACACGGGACCATTCTCGGTAAGGCTCTTAAATTCCTATCCTGCCTTCCCATCCCGATGTCGTCTCCATTCACCGCTGAACTCAAATCAGCTACGCATTCACCCAGGCCAACCGATTTATCAGTTCCTCTACAATAGAAGGATTGAACCTCTCATTGCTAGCCTTGTAATAATTGATTTCCTGTCTAAAATTTCCCCATTTTCCCGGATGTTCTTCCTTGCGCTCTTCTGGATTTTTTTTCCGCTCTTTCCGTTCGGCGGATCTTCGTGAACCCGCAAATAGTCGTCGCTCTAAGATGCTGGCAGCTTGACGATTAACAATTGTACGTAGATGCAGAGGTAACACGATATTCTCATCACGCAGCTCATTTCTGTTTTCTCATTTTTACTTCATTCCTTCCCCGTTTCGCTGTTGTGTCTCCCTCCCCTCCCCTCCCTGTCCCCCCACGCCCGGTCGGCGTTTCCACTCTCTCTTCCATCCCCCTCTTCCATCCCCCTCTTCCATCCCCCCCTTCCCCCCCCCCTTCCCCGCCACTCCTCCCCCAACCCCCCCACCCTACCCCCCCATCCGCTGAAACACTCCAGGAGTGGACATCAGTATGAACACTCACCTTAAAACAGTGAAGCTTACAGTCAAGGGCAAGAACCCAGTAGCCCTGGACCATTTGAGTGTACGGGGACACACAATCCGGTATTTTATCCTGCCCGACAGCTTGAATCTTGACACGCTATTGGTGGACGATGCACCCCGACGAAAGGCAAAGAAACAACCAGCAGGTATGTGCAGTCGTGGTCGGGAACATCTGTTATGATTTTATTGAGTTTGTGATGCTGTGTGATGAGGTACAAACAACCAATCAAACTTCATTGTTTATGATTTCTTTTGCAGGGCGGGGTGGAGCTCTGGGAAGAGGCAGGGGACGAGGAAGGGGCAGGGGTCGCGGTCGTGGCCGTGGCTGATATCCCTATGGCATGCAGTCTTCAAGAATATAACAGTCAAACTAAACATGCATGCAGTCTTCATGAACATAACACGTTAGTGTACACATTCATCTCGTCATAGGTGGGACGGTTGTAATGATAGACTCAGCTTAGTGGTGCTGAAAATCTTCTTTGTCTAAACGAAAGGCTAATTTGTGTGTCCTGTACACGATATTAGCATTTTCCAAGCAAGCGCCTCGACACTCCCTGGTCTCCACAGAAGTTGTCCCAGCCAAAGTTGTCGCTACTTTTCCTCGCTAGCATCGCCTGCTTCGCATAAAAGCTGGAAACGAACTCACAGCACTGCACACTGCACACGCCCTGAAATCTCCCTCGCACTGTCGTTTGCCGCCGCCTCACACTAGTCTGCCATTCCCATTCTCTCACGGTTGTCAACTCCCCCTCCCGCGCGTCACGAATCCCTCCCGACGGTCTGCATGACCTCGCCTCTCGAACCACAGATGGCCCAGTTTCCCGTCTCGCATTGCGCAGGCTTGAATGTAGGGTTTGCTGGGAGCTTCGTGCTACGGCTTACCGCATTTATAGAGTTCCTCGAGATCCATAGCTGGGTCAGTTATCGGGTTGAGCCGACTTGTAGGCAGATCCGGCCAGTTCTGCCATTTTTTTGGCCGACTGGTAACGAATTTCGGTTCAGGACCCAACCTGACGGAGTCTATCCCGTTCCGTCAGCAGCTGAATCCGTCCGGCCACCCTGACCGAATCTCGTAGGTGCTCTTCCCACATTCCGGGCTCTCCGCCGTTCTTCCCGCGTTACAAGAGCCAAACCAGCTACTGTCACGCTTTCCGTTTTCCCGAGCACCCGTCAACTCGTCAGTTCTACTTAAGACCACCGCTTTTGTCGTAATTTTAGGGTTTCCTTCCGGAATTCATCGTCGCTGGCTATGTCAAGTTAGAATTTCGTATAGCTAGCCTCCATAGCTCGTTTAGCGCCGCATCGTTATTGTAACCGCGTTCGTCGCAAATTCGTCGCTGTCCGCGTCGCTCCACGCGTCATTGCACCCTCTGGGTGCTTCTTTCGTGTTCCCTTCACAATACCTTCATCCTGCTAGCCCTGTGCTTCTATTGAAAGGTCTTTTTGGATTCTTTCATTGTTGCTCCGATACTACTGCCAGCGGTTACGGAATTTCGGACATTTGAGACCCTCCAGCTGTAGTTTAGGGTTGCAACGTTGTTTTCTTCGTGTTACCGTTTCTTCATTCTTGTTACCGTTTGTTTCCATCATTCTATCGTTAATTTCTTAATGTCACCGTTGATTCCTTCATGTTACCGTTGATTCCTTCATGTTACCGTTCATTCCTTCATGTTACCGTTCATTCCCCCTTTGTTACCGTTCATTCCCCCATGTTACCGTTCATTCCTTCATGCTACCGCTCATTCCTTCATGTTACCGTTCATTCCTTCATGTTACCGTTCATTCCTTCATTTTACCGTTCATTCCTTCATGTTACCGTTCATTCCTTCATGTCTCAGTTGCTTCTTTCACGTTGCCGCTGATTCCTTCATAATGTTACCGTTTTTTCCCTTCATGTTACGGTTCATTCCTTCATGTCACCGTTGATTCCTTCATGTCACCATTGATTCCTTCGTGTTACCGTTCATTCCTTCATGTTACCGTTCATTCCTTCATGTCTCAGTTGCTTCTTTCACGTTGCCGCTGATTCCTTCATAATGTTACCGTTGTTTCCCTTCCTCCATGTTTGCACAGGTCATGAGCTGTCAGGACGGATCAGGCAAATCAGCACACGCCGAATCCCAGTCTGCTGTGACGACAGCTGTCGGCACACGATTGGCTGGTCCCATTGGCCAGCCAAGCGATGCCAGAGTAGGTGGAATGGCCAGTGCTGCTGGTGCTGGCAATGGTAGGCTGGACGTTGCTGCTGCTGCTCCTGCTGCTATTGATGGAGGTTTGCTGCTGTCCATGGTAGCTGCTGTTTCTGCCACTGCCACTGCAGTTGCTGCCGCCTCTAATGCTGCTGCTGCTCCAGCTAATGGTGGTGGTGAGAGTGAGGGCACTGCATCCGCATCAGCTACTCATGCCACCAGGGTTCTGCTGCCATGCTATCAGCTAGCTGGCGTGCCTGCGCTTAGGGCTCCTCCTCTTCCTCCTCCTCCTCCTCCTGCCGCCGACGCCACTGCTGCCGCTGCCGCCGCTGCCGCTGCCGCTGCTGTTGCTGCTCCTGCTCCTGCTGACACAACGCCTGCTACAGCCGCATCTACTGTGCGCATGAAAGGAACAAGGCCCTGCATAACGAGGGCTGTTATTGGGGAAGTGGCACGAGTTGAGTTGGCAACTGATGTGATTGACACACCAGTTGAAATGACCACTGATACATCAGCTGACGTGGAAGCGAAATTGCAATCCGCAGCTGACGTTGCAGTTAACTCAAGAGCAGATGCTGGAGCAGAAGCAGCTGCTGACGTGGCGGACAGCTCAAGCGCTGCTTCTGCAGCCGAAGCAGTCGCTGACGTGGCAACCAACTTAAGAGATGATACGCCACCTGAAGCAACACCTGAAGCATTACCTGACGTGGCTCTCGAATCAGGAGCTGATATTGCAGCTGACGTGGCAGATAAGAAAGCTGCTCAAACGACTCACAAGGCAACACGTGTCAGGGTTCACTCCGACTGCACAGCAGCTGAAGCAGAAGCGGATAGGAGAAGTTTGGTGGCCACTCATAAGACGACACGTGTCAATGGTAACAATGACATGGCGGCAGAAGCAGAGGCAGACAAGAGGAGCCGCAAGCTGAGGAAGAAGAAGCGTCTGGTATGTGTGTGCGCGAGAGAGTGAGCGAGAGAGAGAGAGAGAGCTTGTTTTGCGTTCAGTTGTAAGGAGACACTGGTTGATCTGTTTGATGCTTCTACCTTTTGGCCCGTCCGCTCTTGTTATGGCTTCTTCCCTTCCTCTCAACTTCCATCCCTTCGTTGTTTGTTCTGAGTACTCTCCTCCTACTCCTGATCTCGTCTTCATCCTCCCCTCCATTCCCCTTTCAGGCCGATGACATGGCAGGAGAAGAGTTTTTCTTCCTGCCCAGAAAAGCACCAACCAGACGGCCTAAAAAGACCGTTGGCGAACCACTTCCCGAGCCTGCGACCGAACCTGCTGGTAAACCTGCTTCCGAGCCAGTGACGGAACATTGTCCCAAACTTGGCGTAGAAGCTTTGGAGGCAAAGCATGTGCTTCTATCAGAATTGGCTACAGCGGCAGGGCGTCTTGGATCAGGACTTGATGGGGCAGGGGTTATGGGAGCAGCATCAGTAGTGGATGCACAGTCACAGAATCAGTCTACTGTGCGGACAGAGCCAGACGCGCATCCAGGAGCTGTTGAGTCGACTCACATGGCTCCATGGAATCAGGATGCAGTGAAAGAAGAGTCAGAAGCGTGTGCAAGAACTGCCAGTGTGATTGGCTGCATTCAGCAGCATCAGAATTGCCCTCAGAATGAGCAGTGGCTGCTGCAGCATGAGCATCAGAATCACCATCAGCAGCAGCAGTGGCGGCTGAAGCTGAGTCTGACTCAGCCTGATAACATTCCCTGGGAGATTCGGGAGAGCAAACTGACCAGTAGGAACGCGCCACTTGGCGCACTTGGTACCAATGGCGTGAGAGCACTGAAACGAGATTCGCCAATGACAGAAGGGTTGCGACTGGGAGGGTATACGGAAGAGGCTAGTAAGGAGTGGGGCTCAAAGGGAAGACTCTCAGAGGTTGATGGGGTAGGGTTGCTCCAGGAATTGAGGGAGGGGTTGGATGCGGTGGGGACTGGACGAGGGAGTGGAATGAGGGATGAGGAGGGTTTCGTGGAAGGAGACGAGAAGACGGCTCATGGTGGTGGCAGTGCTGGTGTTGCTCATGCGGAGAGGAATTGCTTGTCAGGCGTAGATGTGGTGGGGGCTGGGAGGGGTGTTGGTGGTTCCGGTGGTGAGGAGGAGGGGTGTGGAGTGGGAGAAGAGAAGACGGTATGTGTTGGTGTTGGTGTTGGTGTTGGTGTTGGTGTTGCTCTCGTGGAGCAGAATTGTTTGCCGGGTGTTGAGGGTCGAAAAGGGAGCAAGGGGAAGGGGAAGGCGGTGGGGAAAGCGAAGGAGGGAGGGAAGGTTGAAAAGCGTTGTAAAGGGGCTAAAGCAAAGGCAGGAGGCAAGGCAAAAGCAGGAGGAGGGTTAAGCGGGGAAGGACTGGAGAAGGGAGGTGCAAAGCCCAAAGATAAGTCCAAGTCTAAAAAAACTGCCAAGGCTGCAGGTTCGGCCATGGCTGTAGGTACGACCAGGGCTGTAGGTACGACAAAGGCTCAGGGGATGCGTGAGGAGGCAGGGGGGCAAGCAGGCAGGGCAGGGAAGAAGGCGAAGGGGGTGGGAGGGAGGAGGAAGGGGATTGCGGCTGTGATGCATGAGGGTGGTGGGAATGAAGGTTGTGTTTCTGGGTCCGGTTCAGGTGAAGGTGGTTCAGATGTACGTGGTCTGGTGGTTGGAGTCCTAACTGCTCCGCCCTCTCCCACCGTTGCACCCACTTCCTCCCCGCCCCTCCCTCCTTCCCCTCACGCACTTCCCCCTCCCCCATCTCCGCCTCATCCTCCCCTCCCCCCGCCCCCGCCCCTGCCCAAGCCATGCTTCGACTTCCTTCTCCCCAGCAGCAGCATAGGGGATTTGATTGCAGTTTGGGACTTTTGCTGCCGCTTCTCCCCCGCCCTCCGCCTCTCCCCCTTCTCCCTCTCCTCTCTAGAGCTCTCCCTGGCGTTTGAGGGGGAGGGTGGGGGCGGGGGGAGGCGCGGAATGGGGGGAGGTGTGGCGGAGAGAGAAGGGGCGAGGAGATTTGCGAAGGGAGAAGCTGAGGTGTTAGAGTGTGAGCGGGGGGATGGGCAGGGGGAAGTGCAAGGGGGAGAGCAGGGGGAAGTGCGGGGGGGAGAGCAGGGGGGAAGACAGGGGGAAGAGCAGGGGAAAGAGCAGGGGGGAGAGCAGGGGGAAGAGCTTGGGGGAGAGCAGGGGGGAAGCCAGGGGGAAGAGCAGGGGGGAGAGCAGGGGGGAGAGCAGGGGGTCAAGCAAAGGGAGAAGCATGGGGAGGAGCAAAGGGAGAAACAGGCGGGAGAGCAGGAGGCAGTGCAAGGGGAGGAGAAAGGGCGACAGAATGTGGAAGGGCAGGAAACGGGGGGAGGGGACGGGTGCCAGAAAGAGGAGAGGAGGGAAGAGGAGGAATTGGAAGAGCATGCATTGAAAGAGGGGATATTGGAAGACGAAAAAATGGTTTTGGGGAAATTGGAAGAGGGAAAGTTGGAAGGGGGAAAGGTTGAAGAGGGAAAGGTGGAAGAAGGGAAATCGGAAGAGGGGAAATATGAAGAGGAGAGATGGGAAGAGGAGGAAAGAGAGGGGTCGGAAAGAGAATGGGATTGGGGAGCAGGGTGGGGGAAGGGGCGAAGGCTGAGAGGCAGGCGGGATGGAGGAGGGAAGGAAGGCGGTGCGAGTGAGAGCTGGGAGAGGGAAAGAGTGCGGGAAGAAACAGGGAATGGAAGAGGAAACGGCAGGAGGGGACAAGGCAGAGGAGGGAGTGAGGGAGGGAGTGAGGGATGGAGTGAGGGAGGGAGAAGGCGTAGAGAGGTTGTGTTGCCTCCACTGTTGGGGGAGGTGCATACGGCACTGCTGCGGGCAGCTCTGAGCCATAAAGGTTTCGAACAGGAGTTCAAGAAACAGCGGCAGGGGAAGAAAGAGGTAGGTGGTGCCGTGGTGGTATGTGTGTATGGCCGATGCATGCCTTAGGTGGTATGTGTTACTGCCGCTGTTGCATGGTGGTATGTATGGCCGGCCGGTGCATGCCTTTAGTTGAACAAATAATCCTTACATTGGCCCTTGAAAACACTTCTTGAGAAATTTCAAAAGCCGAACGAATCCTGCGCTGGCCTCTCATGTATGTATTGGTCCACAGTTGGCTTGTGAACCTTTCTGCAAGGTTATAAATATCATGTAGGAAAAAAGGCGCTAATAGATCTCGTCCTTTCCTACTCTCTCCCCCACCTTCAGGTGTCGCCTCACACGTGGCTGGAGGACGTATCAGCATGGGCTAACACCCCTTCAGTGCACGCCAGACTGCATTCCGAGGCGGCTCAGGACCGCTTTACTGAGTCTATCAGCCCTGCTTCAAACTATTCTTTTCCCATTCTCCCGCCCTTTCAGGTGTCGCCTCACACGTGGCTGGAGGACGTATCAGCATGGGCCAACACCCCTTCAGTGCGCTCCAGACTGCATGCCGAGGCATCTCAGAACTGCTTCAAGGTTCCCGGCTTGAAGGATCCCATCAGCCCGGCTTCGGTGCATGGCCGACTGCGACTTGAGACGTCTCAGCAGGACCGTTTCAAGAACTCTATCAGCCCCGCTTCATCAGAGCACAGGAGCCTACAGCCACGCAGGCTGATTCTCAATGGCGTGCATCCATCCCAGGCACGTCGATCCGACGGTCTACAGGGTTCGGAGGCCTGTGCATCTGATGGTGGGAAGCTGCTGAGTGTGGCCGAGTGCTTGGGCCGTGGTGAGAGGGCTTGTGATCGTGCTAATTCTGGTGATGGTGGTGACGCTACTGCTGCTCCTGATACTGATGCTATTGTTGCGGATGGTGCTGCTACTAGTGCTGGCAGCAGTGGCAATGGTGGTGATGTCAATGGTGAGACAACAGCTGCTGCTGCTTTCGCTGCTGCTGCTTCTTCTGATAGGATACATCCTAGAAACTCTCTGGATCCTTTTTCTCTTCCAAAAAGCATTTTGCCGAGCCACTATTCTAGGCTCGGCGCTGAGGCAAAACTGCTCTTGCTTCGGGAGCTGGTGAACGCTGCACTAGAGGGGGACATTCTGCGGGCAGCTGTGGAAAAAAAGCTTGCAGCGATGGACAAGTTGGCCGGGCAGAAAAAGGTTTTGGCGGAGGAGGAACGGGCGTGCAGGGAGACAGCAGCATTGCGGGAGAGAGTGAGAAAGAGGGAGAGAGAAGAGAGGGAGAAGGAAAGAAAGGAAAGGGAGGAGATAGCGAGGAGGGAGGAGGAGGAGAGAGTGTGGAGGGAGGAGATGGAGAGGAGGTGGAGGTGGGGAGGGAGGCAGCAGAGGTCTCGTGGTAGCTTCTGTGAAAAGATTTCGTGTAAAGCTGTATCTGCTGCGGGGGATGATACTATGTGTGTAAGGGTTGATGCCAATGAGGGTGGTAATACTAGTGTAACGATCAACACAGGTGTCGACATGGATGTCAATCCCAGTGGCGTCTCTCCCTGCATTCAGTCTTCTGGTGCGGATCGTTGTGCTGGGAATGAGCCATCCACTAGTGGTGATGGTGGGGCTGCTGCTGCTGCTGCTGCTGCTGGTAGCGCCAGTGCGGGTTGTGCTGAGAATGAGCCGTCAACTGGCGATGATGGGGCTGCTGGTGGTGGTGGTGGTGGTGGTGGTGGTGGTGGTGGTGGTGGTGGTGGTGGTGGTGGTGGTGGTGGTGGTGGTGGTGGTGGTGGTGGTGGTGGTGGTGGTGGTGGTGGTGGTGGTGGTGGTGGTGGTGGTGGTGGTGGTGGTGGTGGTGGTGGTGGTGGTGGTGGTGGTGGTGGTGGTGGTGGTGGTGGTGGTGGTGGTGGTGGTGGTGGTGGTGGTGGTGGTGGTGGTGGTGGTGGTGGTGATGGTGGTGGTGGTGGTGGTGGTGATGGTGGTGGTAGCGCCAGTGCGGGTTGTGCTGAGAATGAGCCGTCAACTGGTGATGATGGTGTTGATGGTGAGGCTGCTGCTACAGAGCTCTCCCCTCCTACAGAGGTTGCCAGAGTTGATGATAATGAAGGGGTCGCAACCTCTGCAGCTGCCACTGATGCTGCCACAGATGTGATTGATGCTATTGACGGGGATGCAACTACTACAACGTTTACAGCTGACACTGCTCCGGCTGCTGCTATAGACATTATAGGCGAAGATACAATTGCTTCAGTTATTACTGATGCTGCTACTGGGAATATGGACGGGGTTACAGCTGCTACAGCTGCCACAGCTGTCACTGATGCTGCTACAGCTGCTGCGAATAGTATTTGTGGGGATGTAGCCGCTACAGCTGCTGCGAATAGTATTTGTGGGGATGTAGCCGCTACAGCTGCTGCGAATAGTATTTGTGGGGATGTAGCCGCTACAGCTGCTGCGAATAGTATTTGTGGGGATGTAGCCGCTACAGCTGCCACAGATGCTGAACCCGCTACAGCCATGGGAGCAGAATCCTTATCTCTCCCCTCATTGGCTGCTGGCAGGGGCAGGAAACGGGGTCTGTCCTGGCCCACCAATAGCAGGAGGACACGTGGCAGTTACAGAAGACAGTCTGTAGGAGGGCTGTCCGGTGATGTGAGGGAGGGGGACGGGGAGGAGGGGAGGGAGGGGGAGAGAGAAGAGGGGAGGGAGGAGGAGGGGGAGGAGGCGAGGGAGGAGGGGAGGGAGGAGAGGAGGAAGGAAGGGAGAGAGGAGGGGAAGGAGGAAAGTGGAGGAGGGGAAGAAGGAATGGGGAAGCGGATCAGGGGAAGGAAAAGAGGAAGGAGTGGAGGAAAAGTTGGTTCGGGAACTGAGGGAGCGAGTGAGGAGGGAGAGAGAGGGAAGGGAGAGGGAGATGAGGAAGAGAGGCGAGAATGGGAGCGGCAGTGGGAGGAGAAGGAGAGGAGGTGGAAGCGAGAGGAGGAGGAGGAGGCAGAAGAGATGCAGCAACTGCAAAAGAAGGTATGTGTTTAAGTTTTAGGGAGAAGCACAACAGTTAGGCCTATGGAATTGCAGCTGCAGCATGGCTTTAGGGATTCCCCACCACTCCCCACCATCCCGACCTTTCCACCCCTAACCAGTGTCGGGACCTTAGCAAAAGGCAGAGAAGGCATCGGTTTGAGTGGTGCCGGTGGGGTGGAACTGGGAGGGCAGGCAGTACTGGTGCCCAACGCAGTGAGCAACACTCTCACTGCTCCCCTCGCTCTCCCCTCTTCCCTTTCAACCACCAGTGTCGGGACCTGGATAAAGAGGTCGAGAAGGCGTCGGTTCGAGCAGTGCCGGTGGGGTGCGACCGGGAGGGCAGGCAGTACTGGTGGTTTGGGCGGGAGGCAAGATTGTTCGTTGAAGGGGAGGTGGGGAGGCGATGGGGATACTACAGCAGTGTTGACGAGGTGAGGAGGGTGGAGCACCGCACTGCACCGCATGGGACGCACTGTATGGCACTGCACATCACAGCACTGCACAGCACCTCAATCCACCGCATAGCAAGTGGTGGCTCGTGCAGTATTGCACAGCACCACATCAAGTAAATACTCGTTTGAGTTTACTTCAACCGGTCATTATCTCACCTCACCCCCCTTCCTCTCCCTATTCCCGCTCATCAATACAGTTTGACACGCTGCTGTGCTCTCTGGACCCTCGCTTTCCATGCGAAAGAGCCTGCACGCCCGGCTCACCACACAGCACCACACAGCACATCCCCAAATCTCCTAGTTCTTCCCTCCGCCGCACCCTCCCCTCCCCTGCCTATGAACACAGTTTGATGCGCTGCTGAGCTCTCTGGACCCTCGCTTTCCAGGTGAAAGGCGCCTGCACGCCTACCTCACCGCACAGCAGGAGAGCATCAGGTAGGCAGTGAGTGTCAGCTTCGGGGCGACTTTTGAGTCGACTCAAACGTCACCTCGTTACAATGGCACGCCCGGCTCACCACACGGCGAGACAGCATCAGGTAGGGAGTATCAGGCTAGCAGGATAGCACAACGGAAAGTTGTTTCTAAACCCTTGCATTTTGTGCGGAAAGTTTTTTCTTAGGCGAGTGGAAAGAAATGCCAGGAATGGACTCGCGCAGGAAGGTAAACGAGCGGAGCAGGTCCTGACTCGCCAGCCTGCAACAGCTGCTGCTCCTCCTACCTCCCCCTCTTCCCCCCCCCCGTTTATGTCCACTCTCCCTCTCTCCTCGCTCCCACCCCCCCGCACTTTTCCTCTTCTGATCAGATCCGCTCTCCTCTCAGGGGCAAGGGCTCTGGCTTGCCAGCTTGCAGCAGCTGCTGCCTTCCATTCTTCTCCCCTTCCCTTCCTTTTCAAAGCGCTCTTTTCCTCCTCTCACACCCACACACCCCCCCCACCCCCCTTCAGATCCGCTCTCCTCTCAGGGGCAAGGGCTCTGGCTCGCCAGCTTGCAGCAGCTGCTGCCTTCTCCTCCTCCCCGCCCCCTTCAGTTCCCACTGCTGGCTCTGCTGCTGCAAACGGTGCTGGTGGTGCTGCTGGTGCTGACAGTGGGGTTATTGGTGCTCCGGGTAATCTTAGACGCTCGACACGTGTTCGTGCCCTGTCATCACCTGCAGCTGGTTCCACGTCAGCAGCAGCCCCGCCCACTTCAGCTGGACTGGCCACATCAGCATCATCAGGGGAGAAGGCAGGGACTGGGCGAAATGGGTCTGTGGGTGGGGGCTCGATATCCCCCTTAAAGAAGGCTTCAAGATTGTCTATGGAGCAGCAGCAGATTCTGTTTCCACCACAGCTACGTTATGTAAATACATTGGCAACAAACTATTGAAAATTTGCAGCACTCCCAATTACCCTTGCTATACTAACCAGTCAAATGAGAGTGAGTGATCCTACAGTCCCAGCCAAATACAATGGAAGCGTTTCTTTACACTTGTCATACAGGATCGTGGGGAGACTCAGGATCTGAAGCAAAGGCTGTTAACTGTATCTATGTCCACGTCAAGAGAGAGTAACACATGAGTCAGATCATCTGGTAATGGAGCAACAATTTCAAGATACCTATTATCCATCCCTGCACTACTCTCCAGAAGAGACAGGGAAAAATCCCCTTCGGTTGCCAGCATAAGGGAAGATTCGGCTTCAAGTGCAGGCAAAAGGAGAGATTTTGCTTCTGGTGCATCCACGAGGGGGGATTTGGCTTTACGTGTGTTAAAAAGAGGGGATTCTGCTTCGGGTGTGTGGACGGGAGGAAATTCGCCTTGCAGGGCGTGCAGGGGCAGCAGCAGGCGGCAAGCATGGAGGAAGAGGCGGGAGGGGGGCAGGCGATGGTTCTGGCGGAAATGGGCATTGGTGCGGCCCTTGCCATGCACTGAGTCTCCTATCACCTGATGGGGAGTGGAAGAGGAATCACACAGGAAGGAGGGAGGATGACACAGGCCAGTGGGGCACGGAAAGGAGTGCACAGCGGTGGCAAGGAGTGTGAAAGAAATGCAAATAGTGGCTGCAGGCATGCACACAGAGGTCGCTGACACACATGCATGCCTGTGGATCACACATGCATAACATGCATGCCTGTGGATCACACATGTATAACATGCATGTCTGTATGTATAAGCTTCCACCCACATAGAAACGAGGTGGTTGAGGTGCCATTGAATCTGGTGCCGGCGGCCCATTGATATTCGCACAGACAGCAGCGGTGACATCTGGATTCGGCAGCCGGGAGCTGTCTGTGCGAATCCACCAGACAGCAGCGGTGACATCTGGTGGTGTGGATGTCGAAAGAAGTGCACCTTTGTGTTTGCATGCGTGATTATCATGGCTGCATCACTGGAAACTCACATGGAAAGCGAGGTGGTTGAGGTGCCGTCGAATCTGGTGTCTGCGGCCCGTTGATATTCGCACAGACAGCAGCGAGCAGCGGTGCTGCAGAATTTCCAGGAGCTTTCTGAACTCAGAATAAGCTGGCTTGACCACGCCCTGGGAAAGGGACAGCAGGAAAGAGAATCGGGAAGAAAGGAGGGAGGCAGGAGGTGGGGGGTTGGCGTTGGGGGTTTGAAGGTGCGTGAAGGGATGCAGCTGTATTGGAGTCACTATTGAGAATTCCCAACAGTCACTATACAATGAAGGAGGGAGGTGGGAAGTGGGAGGTGGGAGGTAGGAGGTTGAGGACTAAAGATGGTTCTGAAGCGCCCTGAAAGGGGTATAATGCAAAGTCTCCCAACGGCTTATTTTTGTGCGTGCATGCATGCGTTCATGCTGCGCCCCACTCTCTCAGTTTTAAGCTCTTGAATCATCTATACCTTGCCAGCTCTCAGCGCTTCAACCATCCATTGCATTCCATTGCAACACCCCACCTTTTCATCCTTCAACGGCTTGTCACACGTGAAGGCACCGGGAGGCGAGCCTCGCACGAGGACCAGGTACCTGGGAGGGGATGGGGTGGGGGAAGGGGGCAAGGGGGATGGGAGGAGGGGAGGAGGGGGGAGTGAGGAGGGGAGGAGGGGTGTGGGAGGAGGGGAGGCGGTGGGTGGAACACACATCACGGAGTTGGGAGGTTAGCCTTGAACGAGGACTAGGGTACGCCACCATTGCTGCTTTTGAGAATTCTCAAAAGCGACTCAAAATGAGAATTCTCAAAAGCGACTCAAAATGAGAATTCTCAAAAGGGAGGGGAGCCTTGAACGAGGACCAGGGTACGCCACCTTTGCTGCTTGCACTTGCCTACATGCCTCTGCTGTCCAGCCCAGCCCAGCCCAGCAGTTGATGTTGTTGTGAGATCAAAGCTGCATTGCATTCGCTGCTCTCCCCACCTCTACCCCTCTCCCTCGCCCCACCACCCACCACTCACTCCTTCACAGCAGCAGGGTGTGTCATGGGTGCTAGCACTCGCCTGCACGCCTCTGCTGTCCGCCCAAACACTTGGTGTGGTGTGCAGAGAAGAGAGTACTCGTACATGTTGAGGCGCCTCAAAATGCACCTCACTGGTGTGGTGTGCAGAGAAGAGAGTACTCGTACATGTTGAGGCGCCTCAAAATGCACCTCACTGGTGTGGTGTGCAGAGAAGAGAGTACTCGTACATGTTGAGGCGCCTCAAAATGCACCTCACTGGTGTGGTGTGCAGAGAAGAGAGTACTCGTACATGTTGAGGCGCCTCAAAATGCACCTCACTGGTGTGGTGTGCAGAGAAGAGAGTACTCGTACATGCTGAGGCGCCTCAAAATGCACCTCACTGGTGTGGTGTGCAGAGAAGAGAGTACTCGTACATGCTGAGGCGCCTCAAAATGCACCTCACTGGTGTGGTGTGCAGAGAAGAGAGTACTCGTACATGTTGAGGCGCCTCAAAATGCACCTCACTGGTGTGGTGTGCAGAGAAGAGAGTACTCGTACATGTTGAGGCGCCTCAAAATGCACCTCACTGGTGTGGTGTGCAGAGAAGAGAGTACTCGTACATGTTGAGGCGCCTCAAAATGCACCTCACTGGTGTGGTGTGCAGAGAAGAGAGTACTCGTACATGCTGAGGCGCCTCAAAATGCACCTCACTGGTGTGGTGTGCAGAGAAGAGAGTACTCGTACATGCTGAGGCGCCTCAAAATGCACCTCACTGGTGTGGTGTGCAGAGAAGAGAGTACTCGTACATGTTGAGGCGCCTCAAAATGCACCTCACTGGTGTGGTGTGCAGAGAAGAGAGTACTCGTACATGTTGAGGCGCCTCAAAATGCACCTCACTGGTGTGGTGTGCAGAGAAGAGAGTACTCGTACATGTTGAGGCGCCTCAAAATGCACCTCACTGGTGTGGTGTGCAGAGAAGAGAGTACTCGTACATGTTGAGGCGCCTCAAAATGCACCTCACTGGTGTGGTGTGCAGAGAAGAGAGTACTCGTACATGTTGAGGCGCCTCAAAATGCACCTCACTGGTGTGGTGTGCAGAGAAGAGAGTACTCGTACATGTTGAGGCGCCTCAAAATGCACCTCACTCGTGTGGTGTGCAGAGAAGAGAGTACTCGTACATGTTGAGGCGCCTCAAAATGCACCTCACTGGTGTGGTGTGCAGAGAAGAGAGTACTCGTACATGTTGAGGCGCCTCAAAATGCACCTCACTGGTGTGGTGTGCAGAGAAGAGAGTACTCGTACATGTTGAGGCGCCTCAAAATGCACCTCACTGGTGTGGTGTGCAGAGAAGAGAGTACTCGTACATGTTGAGGCGCCTCAAAATGCACCTCACTGGTGTGGTGTGCAGAGAAGAGAGTACTCGTACATGCTGAGGCGCCTCAAAATGCACCTCACTGGTGTGGTGTGCAGAGAAGAGAGTACTCGTACATGTTGAGGCGCCTCAAAATGCACCTCACTGGTGTGGTGTGCAGAGAAGAGAGTACTCGTACATGTTGAGGCGCCTCAAAATGCACCTCACTGGTGTGGTGTGCAGAGAAGAGAGTACTCGTACATGTTGAGGCGCCTCAAAATGCACCTCACTGGTGTGGTGTGCAGAGAAGAGAGTACTCGTACATGTTGAGGCGCCTCAAAATGCACCTCACTGGTGTGGTGTGCAGAGAAGAGAGTACTCGTACATGTTGAGGCGCCTCAAAATGCACCTCACTGGTGTGGTGTGCAGAGAAGAGAGTACTCGTACATGTTGAGGCGCCTCAAAATGCACCTCACTGGTGTGGTGTGCAGAGAAGAGAGTACTCGTACATGTTGAGGCGCCTCAAAATGCACCTCACTGGTGTGGTGTGCAGAGAAGAGAGTACTCGTACATGTTGAGGCGCCTCAAAATGCACCTCACTGGTGTGGTGTGCAGAGAAGAGAGTACTCGTACATGCTGAGGCGCCTCAAAATGCACCTCACTGGTGTGGTGTGCAGAGAAGAGAGTACTCGTACATGTTGAGGCGCCTCAAAATGCACCTCACTGGTGTGGTGTGCAGAGAAGAGAGTACTCGTACATGTTGAGGCGCCTCAAAATGCACCTCACTGGTGTGGTGTGCAGAGAAGAGAGTACTCGTACATGTTGAGGCGCCTCAAAATGCACCTCACTGGTGTGGTGTGCAGAGAAGAGAGTACTCGTACATGTTGAGGCGCCTCAAAATGCACCTCACTGGTGTGGTGTGCAGAGAAGAGAGTACTCGTACATGTTGAGGCGCCTCAAAATGCACCTCACTGGTGTGGTGTGCAGAGAAGAGAGTACTCGTACATGCTGAGGCGCCTCAAAATGCACCTCACTGGTGTGGTGTGCAGAGAAGAGAGTACTCGTACATGTTGAGGCGCCTCAAAATGCACCTCACTGGTGTGGTGTGCAGAGAAGAGAGTACTCGTACATGTTGAGGCGCCTCAAAATGCACCTCACTGGTGTGGTGTGCAGAGAAGAGAGTACTCGTACATGTTGAGGCGCCTCAAAATGCACCTCACTGGTGTGGTGTGCAGAGAAGAGAGTACTCGTACATGTTGAGGCGCCTCAAAATGCACCTCACTGGTGTGGTGTGCAGAGAAGAGAGTACTCGTACATGCATTCACAGCTCTCCTTCTCTTGCTCTCTCTCCCTCGCCCCACCAAAAGCTGCTCACTCCTTCACAGCAGCTGGGTGTGCCATGGCCTCTCGCACTCGCCTGCACGCCTCTGCTGTCCGCCCGAACACGAGTACCCCACTGGCTGGTCGGTCGATACGATGTGCTGGGAAGAGAGGGCGGTCTGAAGCGTTGACGAGAAGGGAAGAAAGAGAGGGATTAAATGATGAGAGGAAGAGATGGAAGGGAGTGGGGAAGGAGAAATAGATGATGCCTCTGCTGTTCGTCCGAACACGAGTACCCCAATGGCGAGTTTTTGAGAATTCTCAAAAACCAGCTTGCCTCTGCTGTTCGTCCAAAAACGACCACCCCACTGGCGGGTCGGTCAATGCGATGCTCGTTAGTTCCTAACTGCTCCCCTCTCTGTACATAGCTTCCCTTCATACTGCTCTAACCCAAAACCCAGACTCTCACTTCCTTTCCATACCACCCATCACTCATGTCACACATTCCTAGCTCCAGCCGGCGTTCCATCATACTTTTGAGTCGACTCTTTCCATACCACCCATCACTCATTCCTCACATTCCTACTCTCCAGCCAGCGTTCCATCATATCCTTCACACGAAGGCTCCCTGCGCTCGCTCCTCCTCAAAAGCCATGTGATGATCCGTTTTTTTGAGAATTCTAAAAAACAGATCCCTCGTACTCCCAACTCTCCCCTCCTTGCCATCCCACCCATTGCTCATCGCCCACATACCTAACCCTAGCTGTCGCTCCACCATATCCTTCACGAAGGCTCCCTGCGCGCGCTCCTCGTGCCCCCACCCCTCCTGCCCGTGCTCCTCTCTGCAATGCAGGTATTCATCCATTGCTCATCGCCCACATACCTAACCCTAGCTGTCGCTCCACCATATCCTTCACGAAGGCTCCCTGCGCTCGCTCCTCCCGCGTGGCTTCGCGAGACGAGTGCACCATGATTCCCGGCGGTTTGTTGACTGCGATCATGGCTTTATCTTCAAATACCACCTGTTTTTTAAGAATGAAAATACAAAACAGACTCAGCATGAGTGCACCATGATTCCCCACGGTTTGTTGACTGCGATCAAGTGCTCATCTTCAAATACCACCTCGATGGGTGGACTGTCCGAACCACATCTGCCAGACGTATCCCCAGGTTCGGCAGGCAGCTTCGGTGAGACGCCCCGACCCGAATTTTTCGGTACAGCCGAGGCGGGACCCCTCGTTTTTTTGGACACCCGGCTCGGAAGACGTGTGAGGCTCGCGGATGGGTCGGCTGTAGCTTCCGAGCCTGCACGGATGTAGGTTCGGATCGGAACCGAATTAGAACGGTGGGCGTGAAAGGGGGTCGCCCGACACGACGAGAAGAGCAACGAGCCTACGCGCACCGCTCTTACGACCGCCATTGATTCTACTACGTGCATTTCGAGTGGAACATGCCGAGTCGCGACAGGGCTCAAATGCCGGCTGCCGTTTCGACTACCGTAATAGTTTTGCCGATGACAGAAGCCGTGCCTATGACAGTCTGAAGCCGCCCTGAACAGCGCGCACGGGATCCACCTGCCAGAGGCTGCGATACGCCCGTCTTCCGTTATTTCCGCTCACATACGCGTTACGTTACGTTGGTTAGCCATGGAGGACTCTTCGACTCGACACAATCAAGAGAGAGGAGAGGCAGCTCGCGTCGCGTGTCACAATAGGATCATGCTCCCGCTTCAAACCGCGGCTTAGGGCACTGTACACGTCAAAGTGTTCTTCAAATCCCGCCACTGTACCACCGAAGTTCGGGTTCGTCCGCTCGACCTTCCCTTGACTATTTGCTTACGAGAAGTTACTGTGCTAATGCTCACAGGGAAGTGATAGGCACAACTGTCATTCTCATACTTTCGCCCAGCTTCGCTTTGCTAATCGCGGTGCTTTCGCAAATCGTCGAACCACTCAACACACACTAAGAACTTTTGCGCCCCACAGCTATTGCTCACCAGTGTGGCCCAGAAACCCCGCCCTGATTTCGGATAATTTTGTTTCCTTTTTTCTTCCACAGCCAATCCGAGCCGAATTCGGCCAATTACTTCGTGAATTCCCCTTTTCAAAAGCAGCCTATTCAATAGGCGACGGGAGTCGCCGTTAGATCCTCGTATTTCCCGAGCGCTTGGAGCGATGCCCTCTCCATTGCCGATTCCGGCTCAACGCTGCACTCCATCCCCGACAGTAGCTGCCTCATTGCTCCCATTGTCGTCCCGCTTACCAGTACTAGCAAGGACACGACTCTCAATTACCCACATAGCCAATCGTCGGCGTAATTTATTAATCACCCGCGGAACCGTTGTCCCGCGTAGCAGAACAGCAGCCATAATGGCTTCCGCTGCACACACGGCAACCACTACAGAAGGGAATGTCGAGGGTGATTTACCCGCGCGGAACGGACCTGTTCAAATCTCCGGGCTAAAAGAGCTCGTTGAAACGGGGAAATACGAGGTACGGACGCTTGACGCTTGAAGGATCTGGGCTGATCAACTCTTTATTTTTTTATTCCTTGAGCTGTGGATCAGTTTGAGGTGCTTTAAGAAACCCATATGGCTCGATGGCCAGTCTCGGCTGTCCTCCCACCCGCCTTCAATTCCATCCCTCGTTCCCTCCCTGCCCCTGTTCCGTGCTTTTCATCCCATTCTCTCTCCCCTCCCTTCCACCTTCATCTCCTCTTGCTGCTGCCAAGGCACTCTCCCTCAATTCCACTTTCTTCCCTCCAACATCCGCCCCTTCCGCTCCTCCCCCCTGCCCCCTCCACCTCAAACTGGTCCTTTCCCCAGGCCTGGAGTCTGGACCAGTTTGGGGTGCTGCACGACGGCAAGAAAGCGATCTCTTTCCCTCCCTCTCAATCAGCTCTCCTCTCACGCACCTTCTTCTCTTGCTGCTGTTGTGTTCTCCGTAACTCCCCTTTCCTTTCCCCCAGGCCTGGATCCTAGACCAGTTTGGGGTGCTGCACGACGGCAAGAAGGCCTATCCCCAGGCTATCGAAGCATGTGAGTGGGTGGGTCTCGCAACTCATCATCACCCATTTCCTTTGAGGTGGTTTCTGAGGCGCCTCAAAAACCAAGAAGGCCTATCCCCCCCAAGTGATCGAAGCATGTGAGTGGGTCTCGCAACTCATCATCACCCATTTCCTTGGCTCTAAGCTACCGTATAAGGGGTATCCTGTAACTTTTTGAGGCGCCTCAAAAATCGTGACCCATCTCCTTTGCTCTCAGCTACCGGGTAAGGGGTATCCTGTAACGAAACGAGTATTGGGTGGTGCGCTCCCTTTTGAGTCGACTCAAAAGTCATTTCCTTTTCTCTCAGCTACCGAGTAAGGGGTATCCTGTAACGAAAAGAGTATTGGATGGTGCGCTCCCTCTAACTCTCTCCCTTGCATGCTGCTCCCTCCAAATGCTCTTTTCTATGCATCCGTTTCGAGAAATCTTGAAAGTTCAACAGGAATACTTCTCTCTTTCTCACTACACACACAACCCTTAACCTATCCCTATCACTATCCCCATCCTTATCCGTATCCTCCCTGGCCAATCACAGTGCGCCAGCTGGCAGCGTCTGGTGCCAAGGTGGTGCTTCTCAGCAACTCGTCGCGCAGGGTGGAGGTGGCTTCCAAGAGGCTTCCATCTCTGGGCTTTGACCCGTCGCTCTTCTGTGGAATCGAGACGAGTGGGGAGATCACACACCGGCATCTGATTGAGTGAGTGAGGGAGTGAGTGAGGGAGTGAGTGAGTAGGTTAGTGTGGGGAGTGACAAGGAGATCACACACTGGCACCTGATGGAGTGAGTGTGTTAATGTGAGAGTGAGGGAGTGAGTGAGTGAGTGGGCGAGTGGGGCGACCACTCACCGGCACCAGATGGTGAGTGAAGGGTATGGATAGTGTGGGCGTGCCAGTGGGGTGATTGCACCTCAGCTTGCATTGTTGTTCCTCGGTCAACAATGATAGGTTTATCATAGGGTATGTAGTGTTGTCAACCGCATAATAGGTTCGACAACATGACAAAGTGACGCGTTCGAGCGCGCTGAAGTGAATTTTGAGAATTCTCAAAAGTCGCACGGTCGCACCATCGATCAGGGGGTCTCAAAAGTCGCACCATCCATCAGGGGGTCAAACAGCTGGATTCGCAGCACTGTTAATGTTCGTACATTCTCTTAACTGGACTGTCTATATCCCCTTCTACCCTCTCTTCTCTTCTCTCTCCTCGCCCTCATCCCCACCCTCCAGTCGCTCCCTTGACACCTTTTTCCAGACTCTTGGATCAAAGTGCTTGCACTTCACCTGGGCTGCCAGGGGTGCTGTCTCTTTGGAGGTAGGGAGGAAGAGCAACGGGCATTGACAGGGTTACCACATCATGACCTTAATTGCGTTAGGGAAGGCAAACGCCAGAGCGTGTTTTTGAGACGTCTCAGAAACTCACTTTTATCAAAAACAGCACCACTAGCAGCCAAGGTGAAGAGTGTGTGTATTCCCTGACTTCGTGATACCAGGGTGCGTGCCTGCACTTCACCTCGGCTGCTAACGGTGCTGTTTCCCTGGAGGTAGGAAGGAAAGGAAGGAGGTAGGAAGGAAAGGAAGGAGGCAGGAAGGAAAGGAAGGAGGCAGGAAGGAAAGGAAGGAGGCAGGAAGGAAAGGAAGGAGGCAGGAAGGAAAGGAAGGAGGCAGGAAGGAAAGGAAGGAGGCAGGAAGGAAAGGAAGGAGGCAGGAAGGAAAGGAAGGAGGCAGGAAGGAAGGAAAGGAAGGAGGCAGGAAGGAAAGGAAGGAGGCAGGAAGGAAAGGAAAGAGGCAGGAAGGAAAGGAAGGAGGCAGGAAGGAAAGGAAGGAGGCAGGAAGGAAAGGAAGGAGGCAGGAAGGAAAGGAAGGAGGCAGGAAGGAAAGGAAGGACTACACACAGACACTGGTCAGCGCATAATGAGACATCTTTTCAGAAGGGGCAGGGAAGGCAGGGCTGGCAGGGCTGGCAGGGCTGGCAGGGCTGGCAGGGAGAGCTTTGCTGGCAGGACTGGGCTGGCAGGGTTACCCTTGGGCTTACACATATGGGGGTTGTGTGGTCTCTCAGGCCTCCCCGTCTCCTCTCCTCTTGTGGGTGGTTACACTGCTGCTTTTCCCACTCACTCACACTCTCTCACTCACTCACACTCTCACACACACTCACTCTCTCAAAACGTCCTTGTCCTTGTTCATCATAAGGTGTACAATCAAGGACAGGTATTCCCTACTGTGATTGGTGCAAGCCAACAGAAAAGCAAGATCAGGGGGTATTAGTCCGGGGTGTCCCACTCACCTCTCACCATCTCACTCACTCACTCACTCCCTCACTCACTCACTCTGTCACTCGCTCATTCCATCGGGTGCCAGTGCATGATCGTCCTGCTCCCTCCTCCTCTCCTCCTGCAAGTGGGGGAGTCACCAGAGAAGCAGGCTTCATTCTCGCACACAGCACGGAGGCAGTGGGGGTTGCACACGCATCCAACACTACCCACCCTCATCCCACCTTACCCCCTCTTCCTCTCCTCCATCCCCCTAACCACAACAGGGGTTGGGACTGCAAGTGGTGGAAACACCAGAAGAAGCAGATTTTATCCTCGCGCACGGCACAGAGGCAGTGGGGGTCGCAGAAGCAGACAAACCCGCCCGCCCGGCCTCACTGGATGAGCTGGCAGGGCTGATGAGCCGGGCGGCGGAGGAGGGGCGGCGGAGAGGCAGGATGATTCCGATGGTCGTGGCTAACCCCGATATAGTCACGGTGGAGGCTCGGGCTTTAAGGGTCATGCCTGGGACTCTGGCTCGGGAGTACGAGGCAATGGGGGGTGTGGTCAAGTGCATGGGGAAACCAGATTCTGTGAGTGGTAAACCTGACCCAGTATTGAGTCGACTCAAAACCAAGTGCATGGGGAAACCTGACCCAGTAAGTGGTTCTTTTGAAACAACCCTGAAATAGTCACGGTGGAGGCCTGGGCTTTGAGGGTCATGCCTGGAACTCTGGCTCGGCAATACGAGCAGATGGGTGGTGTGGTCAAGTGCATGGGGAAACCAGACCCAGTATGTAATCTCTTGCCCCCCCCCCACCCCCACCCCCTCCAAGTGCCTATGACCTTGACACCATTACGGTGGAGGTGGGGATTGTAATGTTTATGCATGGGGCTCTGGCTTGTTAGTGCAAGCAAGTGAACGTTTTGTTTCATTCATGATTTCCTGCTCTTTGTCGGGCGTTATTATTCATCCCACAGCCACTTATTTCTCTAAAGCTTGCTCCCACTCCTACTTTCCTCCATCATCCCCTCCCAGATTTCTTTTCGGGCAGCCCAGCAGCTGACCGGGATCTCTCTCGACCGCACAGTCATGGTCGGCGACTCGCTGCACCACGACATTCTAGGGGCGGCATCTTTCGGCATTGACAGCGTGTTTGTGGCCGGGGGGATACACGCTGATCAACTAGGGGTACCACCACCACCAGCAACAGCAGCAGTAGGGAATGGGGAAGAGGAGGGGAGAAGAGTGAGGAAGAGCGAGAATGGGGGAAAGGGAAGAGGGAAGGTGGAGGGGGAGGCAAAGGGGGGAGTGGATGTGGGGAAGTTGAGGGTGCTGGTTGAAGAAACGGGTGCGGAGCCTTCATATGTGCTGCCGTATTTCCAGTGGTAACCGAGTCATCGTTCACATGTACGGTTGTTTGGCAAAAGGCATATGCCAGGCACTAGATGGATTCGTACTGGTATCTGGTTACCAGAGTCTTCTTATAAATGGGGCTAAACAATATATGCAGAGGCATCGCGCTGTTATTGTGTGTTATGAAGAAAACAATCAATGGAAAATAAAAGAAATGCAGGAAGAAAGAGCCAAACAGGCCACAAAGCTTATATATTACTCATGGATCTGAAACATTCACCGACGAATTCAAGCATTTGCTGAGCTGCTCTTGACTAATCCTAGGAGATGTCTTTAAGCAGAGAAAGCTGAGCCTCTTGAGACTCTTCAACCCACTGATCCCATGCGTTGTGAAGCCGGAACAGTCATCTAGAGTTAATTTCTGTAACGAGGTAAACTGCAATACATACCCTAATGCGTAGTCCGTTAACCTGAAGCAACCCCGCAGGTGTAGCTCCTGTAACGACCGTGCCAGGTATTGGTCACTGTAGTAGTACTCCTGCCCTGGAGGCTTATAACGAGACAGCTTCTCAATGCCTTTATCGGAGATGGCATGGCATGCATCTGCTTCGAGGAGCACCAATCGCAAACCGGCAATTAGCGCAAACCCATCGTCTGTAACGGCTTGGCATCCCTTGAGGTGTAGACGTTTAAGCGTAGTTATGTGCATCAGGAGCGAAAGGCCCTTGTCTGTGAGCTTCACACAGGCAGACTTGGTAGATGAGAGGTAGGAGGCAGATGGAGTGCGGATGGCAGATGAAGAGGGGGTGGTAGATGCAAGGAGAGGCTTGGCAGATGGGTGGGAGGAGGAGACAGAAGACTGTTTCAGAGATGTAGCTTGGTAGCTGGTGAAGTAAGGCCGAGATGAGGCTGTACCAGCTGTAGCAGTAGCAGCTGGAGCTGTAGCTGTAGCATTTGTAGCAGCTGTAGCAGATGCAACTGTAGCGGACACAACAGCAGCAGGTGTGACTGTATCTGACGTGACTGTATCGCAGCCCCAGAGCCAGAGCTCCTTGAGAGACCGCAGGTGAGACAGGTGCAGCAGCGACGCGCTCATATCGTGACGAACGGCGCAACCCACACAGCCGCCCAGGGACAGAATCTCCAAAAATTTGATTTTTCCCAGGTGATGCATACCGATACTGCTGATGCTGCATCCGTGTAACCACAGCTCTCGTAGTGTAGTTACTGTAGACAGGTGGCCTAAACCTTCCTCCCGGATGGGTGTGTGAGATATGAACAGTGATCTAAGAGAAGGGCACTTGGAAAGATGGGCTATAACAGGGTCGGAGAGGCCTGTACAGAGGATGAGGCTGAGTCGCTGCAGCGAATGGAACGATGACAGGTGGCAAAGTGAGTCATCTGTTATCCCTGTGCATCCCGCCATGTGGAGCTCTTTCAGGTTTTCGGTCAGGCTGTCAAACTGAAGCACGCCTGCCCCGGGCAGAAGAAAAGTTCCAGTGATGGCCTTGCAAGCTGACGTGGCATCCTCCCGCCCGAAAATGAGTTTGGAGATGGTGGGGAGGATGGAAGGGTGAAGGATGGAAAGGGCGCGGATGAAGAGGGATACATCCCGGTCTGAAACGGTGGGGTAGGGTGTGAAATCAAGGCAGCCTTGTTGCAGGGCGATGGGGAATGAGTGGAGCATCAGGTGGGCTGTTGCCTGTGGGGGGAGGGCATGTGGTAGGAAGGTGTGTGATAGGAGGGCACGTGGAAAAGGAGGGGGATGGATTGGGTGGGAGGGAGGTGGTGTGAGAGAGAGATGGTGGGTAGAAGTGGTGGGAGAAAGGAGGTGGTGGGTGGGATTGTGACAAGCAGACTGGAATGGGGAGGACGTGAACGGAGACAGTAGGAACAGGCATGTGCGGGTCAACTAAATAAAACGCCTGTGATAAAAACGACGATTTTACCAGTTGATAGCGCAGAAAGACTTCAAAGACTAGGGAATGGGCGGGGGAAGCAGCGTGGGCATAAACGAGAATTACCTTCTCGTTCTCGTCTATCCGGCTTCTCTGCGTGTTCACTTCGGCTTCGAGCTTCAGACTGCCGTCACTCACACTCCCCAGTTTCTCTTTCAATTGACCCACTTCTGCTGCTGCAATAAGTTCTTCCTGCTGCTCTTGCTGCTGCCCTTGCTGCTCTTCATGCAACTGCTCGTGTCTCTGGCTGAAGCTATGAGTAACTCTACCTTTGATTCCTTTCAGGTCTTCCACTTGCTTCTGCTGCCTCTGCTGCTCCTGCATCCTCGTTACAACATCCTCTACTAACACTAACCGAACCTTGTTTCCAATACTTCCCGCAACTGCCGCCGCCGCAGCCGCTGCTGCAGCAGCAATAACTGCTTCTCCTCCTCCTCCACCTCCTCCCCGTAAGTCCTCAGATCCTTCCTCGAACCATTTTGGTGGAAGCCCATTGCTCGCCTTGTTGCAAACGCACGTTATGTTCTGTGCAGAGGCCAGGAAGGAACAGAAGGGAGCAAGAATGAGACTTGTGAGTCACATCGATAGTCACCTAAAGAAGCATGGGTCGCCTTGGTGCAAACGTTCATCATGCTCCGTGCGCTGACCATGAAGGCACAGAGGAAGGCAAGGATCATGGTCACCTTAAGATTATGAATCACCTTAAGATTATGAGTTACCTTAAGATTATGAGTCACCTTAAGATTATACATGGGCAAATGGCGATTCGAGTTTTACTTGACTCGTTTTGCCGAGTTTTTCTCACTGACGAGTCGAGTCGAGTTTTCCTTGTCGAGCTTTTTTTTGTCAAAATGCTGACTCGAAACTCGGCCTCTAAGTCGAGTTTTTTCAAAACTCGGAAGAGTCTTAAAAAAACTCGTCCGAGTCAAGTAAAACTCGACTCGAGCTTAAACACTATCCCAGTCACCAACCCCAGCCACACAAAAACAGTTTTAGGGTGCCCTGAAAACTGCCCCACCCGTCAACACCCACAAACATCCCAGCCTGCCACACCTCTCCTCCCCCCTTTCACTTTCCAACCAAGTTACTCAACACCACGCCACCTGCACTAGTGTTCACAAATAAGCGGTGGAACACATCCAAGACAGCGAGTCACACCTCCCGCAGCACACTAACCCAGAAACCAGGGCTAGCATTCAAGTCCTGACATTTGTACCCCCCCTCTGGAGGGCCATTTGACGCACGAGTTTTTTAAAACTCGTCTTGGATAAACAAAACTCGCGAGTTTTGAAAAAATCGCCTGTCTAGCCGAGTTTTTCACCAGTTTTTTTTAACTTGGGAGTAAAAATCGACTCGTTTTCACGATTTTTTTTTTTCAAAAATCAAAACTCGAAACTCATGAATTTCGAGTACCTAAAACGTGTCAAGTAAAAACTCGACTCGTTTGCCCATGTATACTTAAGACTATGGGTCACCTTAAGATTATGAGTCACCTTAAGATTATGAGTCACCTTAAGATTATGAGTCACCTTAAGATTATGAGTCACCTTAAGATTATGAGTCACCTTAAGATTATGAGTCACCTTAAGATTATGAGTCACCTTAAGATTATGAGTCACCTTAAGATTATGAGTCACCTTAAGATTATGAGTCACCTTAAGATTATGAGTCACCTTAAGATTATGAGTCACCTTAAGATTATGAGTCACCTTAAGATTATGAGTCACCTTAAGATTATGAGTCACCTTAAGACTCGCTTTTCGAATCATGGCTTGCCTTGACTAGAAATGCACGTTGTGCTCTTTGGGGCGACCGGGGGGCATAGCGCACAGGGAAAAGCAAGAAGGCAACGAGGCAGCGAGGGGTTAAGGCTGAGATAATGCAGGCAAAGAATGGTAAAGGAGGGAGTCAGGAGGCTGATAAAGTATTAGTGCAGTCGGTGTTGCAAAGAATGGTTGACATTCCGGAACTGCCATGGGCTCACCTTGAGCATGTCATGCAGCTGTCGCATCTGCTCGGCTTTTAGACATCCAAAAGTCTGCGCAGGTGAATGAGGGGGGCTGAGTCGCTCACCTTGAGCATGTCATGCAGCTCTCGCAACTGTTCGTCCACCTTCGCCTGCCACGGCAACAATAAGGAACCGACACTTTACTTGAATACTTCTTCAAGAATCCTTAAAACGAATCATCCATCCAACCAGTCAGCCTGGTGTAGGAAAGGTGGAGGTCTGCATAGGAGCAATACCACTTGTTTAAACGAACGGAAAACATTCCGAAAAGGGAAAGGACGAAAGAGGGGGAGCAGACACAAGCACTACTCACACTTACTGCTCACACGCATCACTCACAAACACCACTAACAAGCAACAATCTCAAGCAGTACTCACATGCAAGCACCACTCACACGAACCTCAAACAAGCACCACTCACAAGCACTTCGCCAACCACCTGTTCTTGCTCCAAAATCGCCCTCTTCTCCGCATCTGAGAGCCAGGCCACGGGCTTCCCACCATCACAATCCCTTCCCCCGCTGCTCTGACCCTCCGCACCAAAACTACAATCCCTTGCAAACTCGAGATTCATTCGCCCATTGCAAACGGGGTTCGCGGAGCCATCTGGGCTCTGCAATGACTTGAGTTTCTCAGGACCCTCTGGCCTCTCAGGTTTCTGAAGCTTAACACAATCTTCTTTCAAGTTCCTAGAAGTTTCCAGGAAAGAAACGGTTTGAAGGACGTGCATGGCTTGCTGGTGAGAGAGCATCGCCTCATCCAAAAGACGGCCGATGGCTCTAACGCGAACTCGAGCATCGCGCAACGAGTGGCTGAAACGGCAACGGAGAGCAGGAAACGGAAAGTTTTGACAATTATTTGGATTGATAACGACGAGATAAGGAAGATTCCTGTAACGAGTTGATAGAGACAGTCCAGGCGTAGGAATAAAAACACGAAGACCAGAGTCATACCGCGACGACATCTTCGCCTCATTCGTGGTGATAATCTGGGTGCTTCAACAGATGCGACTCCTAGTCAGCCCTTGTCACTCCTGGTGGAAGTATTTGACGAGGATTTGTTACCGTAAGATACCGCTATTGGAAGTAGTACTACACAAATGCTGATTAATGACTCCCGTAACGCTACTGCACGACGACATGTCTTAGACGAATAAATGGTACGGAAATGCGCGTGATGCTGAAGAACGACACCGTCAGGGGCAAGGCAAACGCAGCCGTGAAGAGAGATTTACAGTCGAGTAAGAAGACTCGGTTCTAAGAGAAGAAGATTCGGTTCGGAGAGAGGAAGACTCGGCGCTGAAGAAAGAAGACTCGGTGCTGAGGAAAGAAGACTAAGCGGAAAAGACTTGCACTGACAAAATGGTCGTACCAGAGAGGACTAGTGAACAAGAGTCGGTCAGAAAGGACTCGAGGAATCAGGCTTCAGGTTGGGCCACACGCCAATTTCAAAGGATTGCAAAGCGGTGGCGAACCGGCGGAAATGAGTTGACCTTGAGGCCGTTCGCGCTAAGGGAAGCTCTGCTACTCTGGATAACTGCAAAGATGGTGCTAATATTTAGGCTTTAAGGAACCTAAATCCAAGCCTAGATGCAATCCCACATTGTAAAAGTAAAAAAACAGGTACCAGAACAGACATAATGAAGAATAGAGATGTGATCCACTATATGTCACATGCCGTGTTAAGTAGGCATCTTGTGTAAATAGCATCAAATGTTAGATGGTTGAAGCATGCTGCTATGGGTGCAACTGAGCGACGAGCGATTGCACTATCTAAGCAACAAGTGCAATGGGTGAATAGAATGAGCGAATTATATAGCGAAAACTAGCGTGGTAATGGTAACGAATGAATTGTGGGGTGCGCGAAGGGCCTAGTGCCGAGGTTGGAAATGTCGAGGCGGAGGACCGAAGCGCGGGTTACCAGTCGAACCGTAAGGTTGGGGTGCGATGAGAATCGTAGCGGGAGTAGTGGTCGGGGCGAGTGTCGCGAATGGTAACATCGTACGGTAGGGTGTTGTTGGTTGGAACAGTCATGTACGCGGTAAGCAGGGGCGCGAATTAAGGAAAATGATTTTTCCTTGCACTACCCCCCGCCCCAATGAGGACCCCTTACGAAAGGGCGTGTAGGTCGCGGAGTATCTGCTTCGCAGGTACTCGGTGAGGATGGGGTGGTTCTCGATTTTATCCAAGGGGACCCAGCTGTCCTCCGTGGGCGTGCGGTCCTTCCACCGTATCAGAAACTCGATGCGACGTGCTCTACGTGGGTCGCGGACTCGGTGGCTCAGAATCTTGTCGGGAGTGATGATTGGCTCGGTTGGTGGTCGTGTCATGCTTGATGGGCGGCTGCGAGCAGTTGGCTCGTGGATGGGACATAGGGGTGGAGGAGACTAATGTGGAATGAGGGGCTGAATGTCAGAATCCCAGCCACTAACCAATGGGATAAAAGGGCTTGTTTACGTAGCGGGTGAGTGCGCCCATAACCCTGTTGAGATACTAGCGTGACTTAGGCTTAGGAGCCATTGCTAGTGAGTGTCTTAGTAGCTTAGGTTTTGGGTTGAAGATGAATGTCGAGAGAATTGAAAGGAGAGAAAATGTGATTCACTAGCAAGAGTTGGGATACAAGTACAACACCCTAAATTGGGTTGTACTTATTGCAGAGTACCCCACTGTAGGCTAGACAGCAAATACATTCTGACACACCCCCATAGCCAAAGTGGGGTGTAATCAGCACAATGAGCAAGCATAGAGCAAGAGTTAACAATAGGTAAGTAAGGCTAGAGCTAATCACAGAGGGGTAGTGAGGATGAGGAGAGACTGTGGAGGAGAGAAGATGGGAGGCGACTGCTGACGCTGCAGACACACAGACGAGCTGTTGGCTCAGTGGCTACCGGAACAGTGCTCCGGACTACTGGAGTAACTGGCCCCGCGGCTAAAAGTAGCGACAAACGAGCAACGGACCCACGGGCGACTGGCGACTACCGGAGATTGTAGCCTCCGGACTGCTGCTGCTGCTGCTAACGACAAGACTGCTGCCTCCACTCAACCTCCCCCAGCTGCCCAACGCCCCTCTCACACACCCCCTGCTCAAACCCTAGCCCTACACCCACAGCACCCCCTTAAACCCTAAACCCCAGACTCCCACACATCCACCCCCCTCAGCGATAGCTGCGGCAGTGGGAGACGAAGGAGGAGGAGGAGGAGGGGACGGCACGCACAACCGACACCCCCACAACCATCACCCCCACACCCACCCCCCAACGGCTGCACCGGGTCCAGGAGCGGCTGCTGCAGGGGCCAGGGGCGGCTGCTGCTGGGGCGGCTGCTCCAGGGCCTGCTGCTGCTGGGGCGGCTGCTCCAGGGGCTGCTGCTGCTGGGGCGGCTGCTCCAGGGGCTGCTGCTACTGGGGCGGCTGCTCCAGGGGCTGCTGTTGCTGGGGCGGCTGCTCCAGGGGCTGCTGCTGCTGGGGCGGCTGCTCCAGGGGCTGCTGCTGCTGGGGCGGCTGCTCCTGGGGCGGCTGCTCCAGGGGCTGCTGCTGCTGGGGCGGCTGCTGCTGAGGCGGCTGCTCCAGGTGCTGCTGCTGCTGGGGCGGCTGCTCCAGGGGCTGCTGCTGCTGGGGCTGCTGCTGCTGGGGCGGCTGCTCCAGGGGCTGATGCTCCAGGGGCGGTGCTGGTGCAAGGTAGGCCCGCGCGCGGCTGCAATGCTTGCGCGGGCGCAGGTGAGGCAGAGGCGGTGGCCAGGGGGGGAGGGCGCCGCGACGAGCAGGGACGGCGCCCAAGGGGTGCCGCTACGAGCAGGGGCGACGCCCCAGGGGCGCCGCGACGAGCAGGGGCGACGTCCAGGGGGCGTCGCGACGAGCAAGGCGACGCCGTGCGGGTCCTGCAGGGGCGTCGCGACGAGCAGGAGCGGCAACGCCCGGGTCCCGCAGGTGCGTCGCGACGAGCAGGGATGGCGCTTCGCAGGGCGCCGCGAAGTGGAGGGTACAGGCGGGCAAAACAGGCCCGCACGTGGACGTGAGGCAGGCGCGCGGGCGGCGTGAGGGCAGGCCACGCGCGGGGTAGGAAGACGCCGTGCGCCAATACGCCGCGCGCCCGAGGCGCGCGGAAGGACGATAGGCAGCGGAAGCAGGAAGGCAGCAGGAATGTACCTGCTGTGAATACCATGTTGAGATACTAGCGTGACTTAGGCTTAGGAGCCATTGCTAGTGAGTGTCTTAGTAGCTTAGGTTTTGGGTTGAAGATGAATGTCGAGAGAATTGAAAGGAGAGAAATTGGGATTCACTAGTAAGAGTTGGGATACAAGTACAACACCCTAAATTGGGTTGTACTCATTACAGAGTACCCCACTGTAGGCTAGACAGCAAATACATTCTGACAATCCCCCCAGGCCGCCATGCCTGTAACCCTTCCCTAGGATCAATCGGGGATCACCAGTAGACCTCTGACACTGACGTACCAGTCAGCGGGCAGGTTGAGGTGGGCGGTGACGGCGGTGACCATGTCACTGATTCGAAATGGCCCGCAATACATTGGGCGCAAATTTTAGGGTGATGGGCAGGCGGAGGTTTTAGGTGTCGAGTAATAGAAGGTTGTCGGGTTGGTAAGTGACGGGGCGACGGTGGCAGTCGCTGTAACGCTTAGCGTTGTCATTTGATTTTTTTATGGTCTCTGCTGCTTAGGTCCGGGCTGCTTGTAAAATCTCGGCGAACTGCTGCGCACGTGGTACTGGGTTGTCGGGATTCGGCGCCATGGGTACTGTTGGGTTATGCCCGTAATTGAGGTAAAAAGGTGACTGTTGCGTGATTGCTGGCGTGGAGTTGTTGTACGCGAACTCTATGAGATGCAACTGCTGCTCCCACGTCGTTGGGTCGTCGCACGTGGCTCGTATTAATTACTCCATGGTCTGATTGGTCCGCTCCGTCTCGCCGTTGCTTTCGGAGTGGTACGAAACTGAACTGCAGTTGTCTGCCAAACTGCTGCCACAGATTCCACCAGAAGTAGCTGATGAATTCGGTGTCATGAACACCGATTATCGACGCGGGTATCCCGTCCAGTCGAACGACGGTTGTGAGAGTACAACGGCTTATGCTGGCTTTGCTAGCTTACCTGAACTTTATTATGCTATTACTAGCTTAGGTTTTATTTATCATGCATAGATATGCTTGATTTCCTAAGTTAGGTGCAATCCTATATGTTCTTATAGTTATAGCACCGAACCAGGTTACTGTGAGAATGAGAACGAGAGAATGAATCAACTATGAAAGAGTTGGGTACAAGTACTAACCCTAATTGGGTTGTAACCCTTATGGGCTACCCCACTATAGCCTACACAATATGCATAAGCTATAATGTTCTGTAACACCCCCATAGGCAAAGTGGGGGAGAACGAGGGGTCACAAGACCAGTCAAGCAAAGCAAAGCAAAGCAAGCTCAGGGTGGATCACAAAGTCACCACACAGTCCGAGCACAAGGTCAAGGCCACAAGGCCAGTTCACATGCAGGAGTGTACATATATATATAAGTCTAAACAAGAAAGAGCAGGTATATATATATGCAAGAGTACAAGTAAGGTCAAGAGGTGAGCAAGTGAGGCAAGACTGGGACAAGTCCCAGCTGAGTACAGAAACGCTGATGATCACAAGGCGGAAGTGCCTTGGTGAAAACATCAGCAGTGTTGGCCTCAGAGGCCACGTACGCAAGTCGCAACTGGCCACGCTGCTGCAGCTCACGAGCAAGAAAGTAGCGGAGAGCAATGTGCTTCGTTCTGTGCTCCAGGCGCTGCTCTCGACACAAGGCCAGCATGGCCTTGTTGTCTACGTACAGCACTGGAGGAGAACGAGGAGGCTCTCCAAGGTCAGTCAACAGGTAGGTGAGCCAGCGAAGCTCCTGAGCAGCCATGGCCCCGGCGTAGATCTCAGCCTCACAACTGGAGCCGAGAACAGAAGACGAGCGAGTAGCCCGCCACGGAACAGAGCCGGAACCAAGGCTGAAGGTGTAACCCTGCGACGACCGCTGCGTAGCCTGGTCGTCAGCCCAAGAAGCGTCCGCGTGCCCAGTGAGGACCACTGGACTCCGCCCTCCAAGCACTAGCCCCATGCCCGACGTACTGCACAAGTAGCGCAACACCCTCTTCGCTGCAGCCATGTGCTCTGGTCGGTGTCTCCCAGGAGCAACATAGCGTGCCAAGATGCTAAGAGGGTATGCAAGGTCAGGTCGTGTGCAGGTCATCAGGTACATGAGGCAGCCAACAAGCTCTGGGTACGGGCCACTCGACTCTACGGACTCATCCGAAGGCAGAGCTGAGAGCGAGTGGCGAGTAGACAGAGGAGTGGCCTGAGGCGAGGAGTACGTGAAGCCGAAGCGCTGAAGGACCTGCTGCACCATGTGTGACTGAGTCAAGGTAATGGTGCGGCGTGCTCTGTCCCGAGTGATCTGCAAGCCAAGGTAGCTGCGTAGTTCACCCAGGTCTGTGCACGTGTGTCTCTTCTGCAGCTCCAACTTCACGTAGGCGAGTCCAGCAGTGTCCGGTGTGGCAAAGACCAAGTCGTCGACGTACACGAGGATGTAGAACGGCGGCAAAGAAGTGTCGGTGCGCAGAAACAATGACGGGTCAGCAGTAGAGGGAGCAAACCCAAGAGCCGCAAGCGTAGTCCTCAGTGTGTCGTGCCACTCGCGTGGTGCCTCGCGGAGACCGTAGACTGGCCGTCGGAGGCTCCACTGGGTGCCAGGAGGGAAAGTCCCAGTGAAGCCAGGTGGACGGCGCAGCCAGATCTCCTCGTGCAGGCTACCCTGCAAGAAAGCAGTGCTGAAGTCAAGAGAGTGGAGCTCGTAGTCGCGCTGAGCGGCTATGTGCAGCAGCACCCGAAGAGTGGTCATCTTCGGGGTGGGAGAGAAGGTCTGAAAGTAGTCAACTCCCTGCCGCTGACTGAAGCCACGAGCCACGTACCGCGCCTTGAAGACAGGTGGAGAGCCCGCTGGCCGCTTCACCCTGAAGAACCACATCCCACTGACAATGTTCGCCCCAGGAGGGGGAACCTCGTCAACGTAGGTGCCTGTGGACTTCCAGGAAGCCATCTCTGCATCCATAGCTGCCTGCCACTGAGAGGAGTAGGGACCCTCTACGGCCTCCGCGTAAGAGCGCGGAGTCGTGATGTCTAGTGCATCCGGGTCTCCCTCAGGGGCAAGCTGTACAGACGCGAGATGAGGTGAAGCAGCAGCCAGACACTGAAACTCCTCCCGCCTGTCCTCAAGGACGTCCGTGCCAAGAGCAAACTCACCCCCAACGGACGAAGGACAGACAGACGCAGACTCAGCAACAAGACTAGCAGCGTAGTCTAGACGACAGCGAGCAGCAAAGTCGATGAGCTCAGCAACAAGAGCAGACGCAGCAGTGGACTCAAAGGAGGGGTCAGTGACAATAGTAGCAAGGAGACGCGTGACAGTAGGACTGGCAGCACGAAGAGAGTCCGACTCAGGGTCGGCAAGTGCAGGAAGAGGGGACTCAGGAGGAGAGGGCAAGGGGGCACGCAGAGGAGCAGTGGACGGACGCAGAGACATCCGGTGCGTGCCAGGGACAGGAGGAGGACGCTGACTGGAACTGCGACCACTAGTGCGAGCAGCACGAACAGGCGACGCAGGACGAGACGCAGGCTCACGATGCTCAGCAAGACCACCAGTAGGACCAGTGTACGGAGACGGAGAAGGCAGTGGGGAGGCCGGCGGTAACTGTGACTGCGACTGGACAGGCGGTGGACCCTCTAAGAGAGGAGGAAGACCAAGAACCTGCTGAAGGAGCGGAACGAAGTACGACCGAGGCTGCGCGGTGGCACCAGACACAGCAGGGACAGCACCAGCACCCTCAGCACCCCCGACAACACCAGCGCCAACAGCACCTCCAGCGGCAGGACCTCCAGTAGCGCCAGCAGTACCCGCAGCAGGACAACCACCAGGACGTACAGTAGTAGTCTCAGAACCAACACCCTCAGCAGCTCCAGCTCGAGGCGGACCTGCAGACCCAGCAGCTCCGGGACCGGCGGCACCAGCACCCTCAGCGGCCGAAGAAGCGCCAGCTCCAGGAGTACGCCTCCAGCGGCGAGAAAACCACTCACGCAGCTCCTGTGGAGAGAGTGGCTCCTGCCGAGACGAAACACCCGGAGAACCTCCAGGCCCAGCACCCCCAGGCTCAGCACCCACGCGCGCAGCACCCTCAGAGTCCCCACCCCCAGGCTCCGCACCCCCAGAGGCAGCACCCCCAAGCTCAGCACCCCCAGGCTCAGCACCCCCAGGCTCAACACCCCCAGGCTCAGCACCCCCAGACTCAGCACCCCCAGGCTCAGCACCCCCAGACTCAGCACCCCCAGGCTCAGCACTCTTAGACTCGGCACCCCCAGAGTCAGCACCCCCAGGCTCAGCACCCCCAGCAGTACCTGAGTCACTAGCAACCTCGACCGGCTCGACTGCATCGATTTGGGACACACCTGAAGGGGCAGGACCCTGAGGAGGAAGGGGGTCTGACGGGGGGGGACCTGGTACAAGGAAGTGCGGCGGCGGCGGGAGGGAAGGAGTGCGGTAGGGGAAGAGGCGGTAGAAGGGGACTGACTCGTCGAACGTGACGTCCTGGGAGGACAGAACACGACGAGAGGAGGGGTGGTAGAACTGCCACCCTAGGGCGTCAGGGGGGAAGCCTAGGAAGACACAGGGAGCAGCACGAGGGGACAGCTTGTCCGCAGACAGGTCACGGACAAATGCGTGAGATCCCCAGACACGGAACGCAGACGCATCGCCAACCTTCCCCGTCCACAGCAGAGCTGGGGAGGTCTCCGGCCGGGAGACCCTGGGGTGAAGGTTGAGCAGATGCACCGCGTACCGAACCGCAAACGGCCACAGAAAATGGGGGGCAGCCGCATGCATCATGGACATACGAGCGACGTCCATGACCATGCGAATACGGCGCTCAGCAATCCCATTTTGCTGTGGAGAGTCCGGAAGCGTGAAGGTCTGGCGGATGCCTCGTGCACGACAGTAGGCTCGCAGAAGGCCAGAGGAGAACTCTCCGCCTCGGTCAGAGTGCAGACGCAGAACAGGATAGTCCGAGCCGAAGCTCCTCCTGAGCTGGAGACGAGCTGCGCGGATCTAGTCGATCAACACCTCAGTGACATCACCCTTGCTGCGCCAGGGGAAGACTGTGTTGTAACGCGAGTAGTCGTCAACCACCAGCAGGAAGTAGCGCTCGTCACCCGGTCCACGGACGCGGGCCGGGCCCCACACGTCCATGTGAAGCGTCTGCAAAGGAGCCTCTGTCGGGGGAAACTGGGAGGAGTGAGGGGCAGCCCGGAGCCGCCCCTCGAGACAGGGGACATAGGAAGGTCCTGGCCCCGAAGGAAGGGGAGGGAGAGAGCGGGGGAGACCAGAGACAAGGACACGGGAAGCCATGCCCCGAAGACGAGGCAAGGAGGGGTGGCCAAGACGGTGGTGCCACAAGAGAGTCTCGTGAGACAGGAGGCGACACGAGCAGGGGGCAGACTCATGACCAGACCTGGACGCAGCAGCAAACACCTGACCCGACGCAGCTACCTGGCCAGACGCAGGGACTGGAGGAGACTCAATGGTCAGGGTGTAGAGACTCGACCCGAGTCGACGCGAAAACGTGGCTAGGTGTCGGCCTGTGCGGGCGTCCGAGCAGTGGGTCCCCCGCTGACTCGCATGAGTAAACTGGTGAACCCCCGCATCCTGCAGGTCAGCACCACTCACCAAGTTCGTCGAGAACGAGGGTAGGTACAGACCCGACAGGGTGCCCGAGGGGGCAGCCGGACACGGGAGGACAGTGGAGAAGTGAGAGAGGACAGAGCCCCCAGAGGGGTCAGCCAGGGAGACTGCAACCGACCGACCAAGCGGCGTGAGTGTGGTGCGGTCTCGAAAGAAGGAGCGAGAAGCCCCTGAGTCAAGTGTGAAGGTGAGGGAGGCCGAAGCCGACGCAGTACCTGAGAGCGCAGCCTCACCAGTACCTGAGAGCGCAGACGCACTAGCACCTAGAGCAGCAGCCTCACAAGCACCTAGCGCAGCAGTACCAATGCCCGGGTCGGGCGGGAAACACCGGTAACAGTCACCCTCATCACTAATTGTCACAGCATACATGGCAGCAAGGATAGCATCAAAGTCAAGATCAAAGATAGCCACGCCAGCCCTAGACAGCTCTCCCCAGCGGGGGATCTCTGTGGCCTCCGGAAACTGCTGACGCCAGGCGTCCGTCAGGCGGCCAAAACAGCGCTGGGTGGTGTGGGCACCCCCACACTGCTCACCCGCGCGGTCGCCGGTGCGAAGGACGTAGGTGCAGGGACCAAGTCCCCCACCACGCTGACGCTGCGTGTACCACTCAAGGAGCTGCTGAGGGGTGGGGACGTCGCGAGAACGCTGCTGCTGCTGCTGTTGCTGCTGGCGCTGACCACCCCTAGTGCCGCTCCGCTGTGAAGAGCCACTCCGACCACCTCCACCACCTCCTCCTCCACCGCCTCCACCTCTGCCACCGCCGCCACCCCCGCCGGTACCGCCGCCGCCGACGCCGCCTCCGCCACCACTGCTGCCAATAGCACCCCCACCCCCGCCACCTCCTCCACCGCCACCCCCACTCCCTCCGCCGCCTCCACCTCCACCGCCACCGCCCCCGCTAGCCCCACCCGCTCCCTTGCCCCCCTTGCCTTTGCCAGGGCGACGTCTCCCGCTAAGGGCAGACGCCGCACCGACCGACTCAAGACCAACGAGGTCGGCCGCAGCGGCAGAGGCGACAGAGGACAAGAGAGGGGAAGGAGAACACCCCTCAAAGATGGGGGCGCGGGGGTCACCTTGAGAGGCCCCAACAGCGACGATGCTCTTCTCCGCCGCTAGGAGGGCCTTCTCTAGGCTGTCGACTGTGAGAGTGGTGGGACAGACCGCGAGGAAGTGGTCCCGGACTACACGAAGGGAGTCGGGGAGGCGGGTGACTAAAAAGTAGAGAGTGATGTACATGGGGGGGGGGTTCTTAGCGCAGAAGTCAGCAGGAAGCGCAGCGCGGTAGCGGGTGTCACTAGTGCGGAGATGCGTAATGAGATCAGCGACTGCGGGAAAGGCGGCAAGGTCAGGGAAGAGGAAGGGTAGCATGAGGCGGCTCAGTGCAGCAGTGGCAGGGGAGGAGTAGCGTGCAACGACAGCGTCGTACAAGGTCTGAGCACTCTTGTACTGACTAAAGTGCGTACGCTCAGAGGTAGGGAGGTGGCGACGCATAGCAAGACGTGCAGCAGCATCGCGCGTAGCCCACTGGGAGCGAACAGTAGGGTCAGCATCAGCAGCAGGGGAAGGGGAAGCGCCAGAGGTAAGGTCAAAGAGAGAGAGGTTGTCTGCCCTATCGCACTGTAAGAACAGCTGGAGGTCATCTACCCATACCTCAAAGTCAATGGCCCGACCCTCAGCGTCAAAAGCGAGGACACTGGGGGTAGCCATGACGACTGACGCCTAGCAGTGCAAGCAGTATGGTGAGGGCAGCGCAGTGAAAAAAAGAAGGCACTGTGCTCACCAGGCTGGGTAGAACGGGCCGTATGGAAGTAGGGCAGCTCAGCGGCCGGCGGCTCGGCTGTGGGGCGGCTCGGCTGCTCGGCGGCTCGGCTGCTCGGCTGCTGGGCGGCTCGGCTGCGGGGCGGCTCGGCTGCGGGGCGGCTCGGCTGCTCGGCGGCTCGGCTGCGGTGCGGCTCGGCTGCACGGCGGCTCGGCTGCTGGGCGGCTCGGCGGCTCGGTGGCTCGGCGGTCGGCTGCTGGGCGGCTCGGCGGCTCAGCGGCTGGGCGACCCGGCGGTCGGGCGGCGGGTGGGCCGCAGGTAGGGCGGCTGGTGGGCCGCTGAGTAGGGCGGCGGGGCCGTCGATGTAGGGTAGGGCGGCGGGGCCGCAGTGTAGGGCGGCGGGGCCGCGAAGTAGGGTAGGGCGGCGGGGCCTCGACGTAGGGCGGCGGGGCCGTCAAAGTAGGGCGGCGGGGCCGCAACGTAGGGCGGCGGGGCCGTCGAAGTAGGGCGGCGGGGCCGCTACGTAGGGCGGCGGCGCCGTCGAAGGGTAGGGCGGCGGGGCCGCGAAGTAGGGTAGGGCGGCGGGGCCGTCGAAGTAGGGCGGCGAGGCCGCGACGTAGGGCGGCGGGGCCGTCGAAGTAGGGCGACGGGGCCGCAACGTAGGGTAGGGCGGCAGGGCCGCGACGTAGGGCGACGGGGCCGTCGAAGTAGGGCGGCAGGGCCGCGACTTAGGGCGGCGGCGCCGTCGAAGGGTAGGGCGGCGGGGCCGCGACGTAGGGCGGCGAAGCCGCTAGAGTAGGGCGGCGGGGCCGCGATCGAAAGGCGGCGTGACGGGCCGCTGGGAGTGGGGGGAGGGCGACACTACGGGTCGCTAAAAAAAAAAAAACGCGCGCCTAGGGGCGCGCTTCGGTGGGCCCAAGAAACAGTCCCTAGGAGGGGACCTGCTCTGATTCCATGTGAGAATGAGAACGAGAGAATGAATCAACTATGAAAGAGTTGGGTACAAGTACTAACCCTAATTGGGTTGTACCCCTTATGGGCTACCCCACTATAGCCTACACAATATGCATAAGCTATAATGTTCTGACAGTTACGTGTACCGAACTCAAGTCTATTCAGTTTCCACCGAATTAATTTCTACCGAGTTCGAGAAGGTTCCGTTCGGGTCGCTTCGCGACCCTCAGAACAATCGTGTAACACCAGGGCTACCTGCCTTGTGTCGAGCCTATATATAGCCTCGCCTTGTACCCTGGTGAATCATTGAATAGATTTCTCTTTCCTGAACTAGATCCTTACACTTGGTAATCAGAGCAGGTTTACACGTGAGGTCTTCAACCGCTTAGAACCGGCCTTTCAAAAACCGCAACGGCGACGACGAAAGCACCGATACGGGTATGTAAAACCAGTTCCGCGCAAATTTTCTAAGTTCCCCTCGATCCAGTTTTCAAACACCCCTCAGGATTATTGGCAAAACATTTGGAATTTCGACCGTCAGATCGATTTGAATCTCAACGGCCCAGAGAATTTCGCCCAAAAAGGTTGGAATTTGGAGCGTCAAATCGATTTTCTTCTCAACGGCCGAGATCGGACGCGAATTTCGATTAAGAGAGAATTGTGCGACGTACAGAATTCGAGCTCGTCTATTCTACAGTCGATTCGACTCGCAGTTAGCCGACCAGCACCTAGAATTCACATCTTTTCGTCGCTGTAAGGAAAATCTCTTTTTCCTTACTTCGCGTCCCTACTCAACGCGTACATCACTGTAGCACCACAGTCAGCACCGTTACCACTCGCAATCCTTGCATCGACAATCCGCCCGCCACCTTCGCACGTCGCACCCCGACTTCACGGCTCGGCGGGTAACCCGCGCTCCGGGCCTCCGCTTCGACACTTTTTCCAACCTCAGTCCCAGGCCCGTCGCGCGAGAACCACAGTCCATTACCGTTACCACTGTAGTTTCGCTATGTATTCTTCGCTCATGCCTTCGCTCATTGTACTCTTGCTTCGATAGTGCAATTCTCGTTCGTTCACTCAATTGCACCCGTAACACTTGGTATTCAGAGCCTACGATCTCCTGTCGGACCGCACCCACACCTTCGCTTCCCCATTATCTCAATTTTTTGGGGGGAGGTAGACGTCTCTCAGCGAGACAGCACCGCCGCTCGTAGTGCTCTCTCGTAAGCACGCACGGCCACAACCGAGGCTCTCGCCGAGCTCGCTCGACACCCCCGCCTGTCACTAGATCTGCACTGTGGATGCCCGATTGATCCTGGAGAGGGTTACAGGCGCGTTCGCCTGGGGGGTTATGAGCGCACTGGCCCGCTACTGAAACAAGCCCTTCTATCCCAATGGTCTAGTGGTTGGGATTCTGACATGGTATCAGAGCGGTCTCGGGTTTGATTCCCCGTGTATGCACATGTAGGCCGTTGCCGCTGTGCTTAGTCCTGGGCCTCCCAGTGTGGGGGGGTGTCAGTAGATCTGCACTGTGGATGCCCGATTGATCCTGGAGAGGGTTACAGGCGCGTTCGCCTGGGGGGTTATGGGCGCACTGACCCGCTACTGAAACAAGCCCTTCTATCCCAATGGTCTAGTGGTTGGGATACTGACACCACCATGGCCGAATTCACGCTCGCCACATTGACGCAGGAGCAGCTTGACCGTCTGGTGCGCCAACTTGAAAATTGCGGCGCTCAAAATTGCGACGCGAAATTGCGAAGTAGTGTTCAAGGTTTTAGACGAGCACAGATTACTGACCAAGGGTTCCAAGTGCGAGTTCTTCCAGGATAGGTTAGAAATTTTGGGGCACGTTATTTCGGAGGCTGGAGTTGAAATCGACCCAAAGAAGCTGGATACGGTCAAAGCGTGGCGTCCCCCGACGAACATCACGAAGGTGCAGAGCTTCTTAGGGTTCGTTTATTATGTGCGTCGGTTCGTCCCCGATATGGCACGGTTAACTGCCCCACTGACGGATTTACTGCGAAAGGGGGTCGTTTTTAAGTGGGGGGAGAAAGAGCATACTGCCTTCTCTGCCCTGAAAAATGTTCTCTGTTCACCGCCCTTCCTGCGCATCGCCGACCCACACCGCCCCTTCGAGGTTGTTACAAACGCAAGCGACATCGCCATTGGAGCCGTCCTGCTACAGGACTTCGGCAACGGCCTACAGCCCATCGCATACGAGTCACGAAAACTGCATCCGCCCGAGCGAAATTACCCGATACACGACCGCGAAATGCTCGCGATTGTGCATGCGTTCAAAGTGTGGCGCTGCTACTTGACCGGCGCAGACGTGACAGTACGGACAGACCACCGATCACTACAGTACCTCCGCGCACAGCCCCACCTCAACCCACGACAGATTCGGTGGCTCGATTTCCTCGAGTCAAACTTCCACTACACAGTCACCTATAAAAAAGGAGCCTCGAACATCGCTGACGCACTAACCCACCCCACTGCCCAGATCCACGCGATACTACTCGCCCAGACCAGCCCGCTACTGACAGGACTATTTACCCACAGATATCAAACGGACCCATTCTTCACAGGAGGAAATTCGCAGCAGTTCGCAGCAGCCAAGGGAGTCTATCACGTAAAAGCCGGGACCGAGCGCATCTGGGTACTAGGGTACACACTGCTACGGGAATTACTATTACAGGAGGCACATGACGGGGTTACCTCGGGACATTTCGGGGTAGAGAAAACACGGCAGCAACTGCAGTGGTATTATTACTGGCCCGAAATGTTGACCGACGTGCAGCGACACGTGGCATCGTGTCCCACTTGCCAGATCATGAAGTCAACACGGAAGCGGCCGGCGGGACAGTTGCAGCCAATCCCACCTCCAGAGCGTGCTTGGCAGCAGGTGACGATGGACTTCGTCACGGGGTTACCGGCCGGGGCGAGTGGAAATGACGCGATCCTGGTCGTCGTCGATCGACTGACGAAAATGGCACACTTCGCAGCCTGCAAAAAATCAATCACAGCCGAAGAAATAGCCCGCCTCTTCATCTCTACCGTCGTTCGACTGCACGGGATACCAGCATCAATCATCAGCGACAGAGACACGAAATTCACCAGCAACTTCTGGCGGAACCTGCAGCAGCAGTTCGGCACGCGACTACAGTTTAGTTCATCGTACCACCCCGAAACAGACGGAACGGACAAATCAGACCATGGAACAGCTCATCCGGACCACGTGCGACGACCCAAACACGTGGGAACAGCAACTGCCACTCATCGAATTTGCATACAACAACGCCCCATCTGCCAAGACCCAACAGTACCCATGACCCCGAATCCCGACAACCCGGTTCCACGCGCGCAATAGTTTGCCAAAATTTTGCAAGCAGCACGGACCAGGGCAGCAGACGCAATTAAAAAAGCTAGCATCATCGCTAAACGCAACGCCGACCGCCACCGCAGACCAGTCACTTACCAGCTCGACGACTTAGTTTTGCTCGACACCCAAAATCTCCGACTGCCCATCACCCCGAAACTCCGCCCTCGATACTGCGGCCCATTCCGCATAAGCCACATGCTTACACTTGTCACCGCCCACCTCCTCCTCCCTGCTGACTGGTACGTCAGCCCCTCGTTCCACGTCAGCCTACTTCGCCCTTACGTCCCGTCCACAAGCCAACTGCCACGCAATCGCCCAGCCAGCATGATAAGATCACCAACTGAACCAATCATCACCGCCGAGAAAATCCTGAGTCACAGAGTTCGCGACCCTCGAGGAGCCCGAAGGATCGATTTCTTACTCCGCTGGAAAGACCGTACACCCACCGAAGACAATTGGGTTCCCCTGGACAGAATCGACAACCACCCCGTCCTCACCGAGTATCTGCGCAGCCGAAATTTCAGGGATGTACACGCACTTTCGTAAGGAGGACCTCCTTAAAGGGGGGGTGGGTAGTGTAAGGAAAATCTCTTTTTCCTTACTTCGCGTCCC